AATCAGCTTTACACTCCAACTATCTCCCCTTGTCCCAACTCAAGCACACATTATGTTCTTCAGGCATTATTTCTAAAGGTAGGCTGCTACACATTTGAACTGACAAAAGAACATGCTGGTTGTGCTTTTTTATTTCTGTCTCTCTATAAATATTATAACCAAGAGCTAGGCAGAGGATGTTAATTTACCTACAAGCCATCTCTTGCTCATGGGAAAATATTTCACACGCTATCATAAACACTTTCACCTTACTTCGCTGCTTCTGATGACTGTAGTTGCAGTAGTGCTGCCTGAGTCCAGAGATACTGTTCCCTGGAGTCTTATCCTTTAAAGAAAAGGAACCTTTGGGTTCAGTGGGACAGGTAATAGATGTCTGCAGTTTGGTCTCTCTGTGGAGCCAGTATCTTCTTTTTAAGCTTTTTCATATCAGTCACAACCAGGAAGGGAGGAGAAGTTGAAGGAAAGAGACTGAAATATCTGCAATTCGAGTTAGGAATGTTGTGTTGATGCTTAGTATATTCACCGCAAATACGTGGTTGTGTCTCCAACCAAGAGACTCCATCACTTAAACTGAAAAGCTGGAAGAATAATGAAAATATCGAAATAGTTTTGTTCTATTCAAAACAAAACATTTTGACTGTTCCATTCAAAGCCAAAATAAACCAGCTTTAAAACAAAGACTAAGTACATCTGAGAATGGAGCATTTCATTCACCTCATGACAAATGAAATTGCTTGTAACTGATCTTTTTTTCTCTTAGTCACAAAACTGGAACTTGCTTTCAACTCCAGTATTCAAGTGGAATAACTGTGTTCTGGTTTCTTTGCTGCCAGACAGGACTAGACATCTTTTATGATACAGCTTTTGAATACAGTAACAGTGGATTCATGACAGGATTTTTTCCTTTTTTCTTTTTTTGAGGTTAGTCAAGATATGATGCTATGATAACTCCACTGGATAGTGCAGTACACAAGTTAGGACACATGGAATAACTTGCTAAAGGTTCATTTCCCTGCCATTTCTCCAAACTTTTCTTACTGTGGCCTCTCCTTATTCTCCTGGAGAATACTTACATGAAGTAAGTCAGTACTTTCTATTACTTAAAAACTTCCTTAGAGATGAAATGTATAGATAGTGGCACAAAAAAACCCCCAAACATAATTAAGCAAGTTGAGAGGGAACCTCAAAAGTCCTTGGTCAGGAATATGATGCAAATCAAGTTATTAGGAACTTTTTATGCTGGATTTGTTTATGAAAGGTGGGAGTAGATTGATGTTTGAAAACCTCAAAGACAATGTATTTAGGACTGTAAATGCAATTTATAAATCCTACTTTAGTTTACTGAAACGTAGAAATATCTTTTTATGCTACAGGATGCTAGAGAGTCAAAGTAGTATACCTAATTGAACAGAATATTATTTTAGAATAGTTAATATCAACTTGAATTATTTTTTTGTTGAAGTATTCTTTGTTTCCCTGTGTATATTCCAGTCACATAATTCATACATCTGTTATTCCCAGCATCGAGCCTACGATGTTTACACAGGTCCCTGTAGGGCATTTTGGCCTAACTGAATCATTATTTCAACTGTATGTCCTAGTTTAATGACACTGTTACTTGAAATACTGCTTCTGCAAGTTTTGTTCCCTCTGGCATAAACTCAGCCTTTCCACACTTAAATCTGAAAATCTGACCCTACTCTGAAGCAGGAGATGCTGGGAAGGAAAGTCTGCGTCCTCAAGCACTGGGTTGTCAGCACTTCAGACCTGTAGAGTGGGTAATGTGACAGCTCAGATTTTGCAGTTTTAGAACACATTTAAATCTCAATGCAATGTCATCCTGATTTCTGATAACGTGTGCTAATGATCCAAAGATATAATTACTTAAAATGGTCTATTAGGATTCATTCTTTTGACTGAGGTAGGGATGCTACTATTGTGTTCTCACTTCCACTCTTTGCTATTTGACTACCACTAGAAAAAAAATTATTCTCTTGCAGATCCATTTTTAGGAACAAGTAAAAAATATTTTAAAATCACTGGCAGATATTTATGTTGAGCCTTATTTGGAAAACAATATGGAGCCATTTCATAGCGCAGCTTACAAGTATAAAATTGCCAAGATATTAAGGCATGTATTAAGTATCTTTTCATTGAAAAATTAAGCTTCTGAACACAGAAGATCCTTTTGTCGAAGGACTTGATTTCAATTTATTAACAAGCTCAAATAAACAGGTGCTTCATTGCAAAGGAGACAACTGACAATGTGGATTTTTAGTTCTTCAGCATTCACACAAACTTAGATTTTCCAAAGACTTAAATGTTTATCTCTAGCCAATTTACAAATCTACACCCTAACTTATTTTTTTTTTATTTTTAATAAGCTAGTAATACTAAGTCTTTGTGTCCAGAATGTATGAACACTGCAGAGTTTCAAAATGTGTCACAGTTCCCAAGAATTAGTCACTTAGTTCCAAACAATGCCATAAAATTGGCTAGCAGTCATTAAAAAAGCCTTGCAATATTCTCTCACCTTCATTTGGAGAACATAAATACAGGAAGATTCTGCTTCCACTCAAGTACAATGGGTCAGGACTTTCCCTATTAGTATGCTCTATTTACAGATGATCAGAGTGGTAGGGAATGCCCTCAGGAATTTGAGGATCATTACCAAGGATTTAATGCAAAAGATTCTCCAACCCCAAATAGCCTAACTTACTTCACTGAAGTAAGTACAACACCTGTGGATTTCAAAAGATCTCTACACACTGTATAAACTTAAAAGTTCCTCTTCAAGGAAATTTTGCATGTTCATTTTTCAGAGTAGACCATCAGTGCAAAGGCCTGCTCTGAGAAACTGAATGATAGCTGTGAAAGCTAAAAAAGTTGGAAAATCAGGCAAGAGGAAACTAAAATAAAACCAAAAAAGTATTATTTTTCTTAAATCACAAGAGATATGTACATATGACAGTGTAGGATTTTTAAATGAGTAATGTAGGATTTTCAAAGGAGCAGGTGCTGTTAACTATGGAGCCCACTATTAATCAGACTTGAGTTGGACTTGCTGATGCTAAATCATTTAGATTGCATAGAAAATTCCACATTCTGGTGAATTAAATCTGGCTTAGCAGACATCTAAAAAAGGGTTTTATTTTCACACACTGCAGGAAAATGCTGCTGCAACATATTATGGAGTGTTGCCACATGCAAGTAACTGTTAATGGAACAAAGTATTTGTGAACCATCATCATCTGGAAAATTCTATTCAACAAAAATAGAAATCCACATTTTTTTCTCACTACACACAAAAAAATCAGTTTCTATTACAATACTTTGCTCAAGACTTTATATTCTTTTTAGAAAGGCATAGTCTTTCTAAATAGTCTTTGAATACCTAGAGAATCACTGCTTTTTTCAAGTTCTTTCAATATCACAGTACCAAAGTACGTAGGGACTGGAACTATATATTTTTGTAATTAATTTCCTTAAGATAATGTTAGAAACATCAGGTTCCTTAAAATATAGATGAATTTCAAGGTGAGTCTGCTAGCAGATGTTATTAATGGCATATGATTTATTGTGACATGAAATCTGATCTGAAACTCATGTTATTAGCTGAGCTTTTTATAAATTATAATTGCCAACTGCTGAAAATATGCAGAAAGACCACTGATAAACTAGCTTCATCTTCAAGGCCTAGAATATCTGCATTTGCTCAAAGTCCAGTATCTCTAGTCCTGCTGACAGGGGATAATACATTGGGATGCACAGATCAGGCTTGAGTTCAGACCTTCTCATGATTCTTTGAGAATGAGAAGCATCAGAGCTAGGAAAAGGAGATAGTAGAAAACAAATATGTAATGTGGGACTTGAAAAAAACCCACAGACTTGGGTCCATAGTATGACACTGCATAGATACTAAACAGATTAAGCATTCAAGAAAAAAGACCTCAACTCTGACTGTTAGATGTAAAATATATACTTTTAATGTGAAAACAGTATAAGTAAGATAATTTTCAAACATTCAAACGTCATTCTGTACAGCTCTAAGATGAGAACACAAATGGCATATTTTGGCATGCTGAGGTCTATGAAGATTTGCATCTACCCAAGATTTTCCAGGTCACCCACTAAACTAAAAAAAAAACCTAAAAAAGTCTATGGTTAGGCTCACAGTGACAAAACATTTGTGTTAATAATTTTTTCTAGACATCCCCTATATATTCCAAATAACATTGTATCTTACTTTCCTCTTTGCATGTGTCTTTAAATGTTAATTAAAGTTTCTGAAATGTTGCTTTTACCCATCACAGCTTACATGCTAAATTACCTAAATAAGAAGAGACAAACATAAACATTGCATTATGAAGGTTATCTACTGAACAAACCAGATATTGAAAGAGGGTAAATTTACACTAAATGTAATACATTTTTAATCTCCATAAAAGCTCTGCGATAAAACTGAAAATTCAAGAAGCAAGACAAGAAACAGATGCAAAGTCTCATTCCTGACTTTTTTTTATGTATACAAAGTTGTTTAAAGATAAAAGCATTTATGTGTAAAATAGCATTCACTTGCCCTTACTTAGAGTATATATGGAAGAGACCACTGTCAAGGCACCAGTGTGTGTGTGAATGAAACATAAGGATCACCATCTGCAACTGTCTAGGAAGTGTTCCTCAGTGCCTAAAGGCAAAGTGAAAATTCAGGGAACCTCACAACCACAGTGCATCATCATGTCCATGCTAGTCTTACAAGTCAAACATCGCACCCGTGAGAACAGCTTATTTACAATGCTTTTGATTTCAGTTGAAATACCAGATATGAAACAGTTACATTACAAGCGGTCTGGAAGAATATACTTAATATAAAATGAACCAATTTCCTCTCTTCTATAAGAATCAATATTTTAAAGGAAGTGTAAAACTTTACTCCTCAGAAAACATACCTTAATAACATGGAAAACCATTTTTATATGCATGTATTTTTAGATTCTTACCTACTGTTGAACTTCTCTGGATGTTTTTCTCTCATGATGTGGAATCTGTGGGCAATTGAAGCATCCTAACAGGAAAAAAAAACCACCATAAATCTGTTGTGACAGGAAAATTGCAAAACAGAAGACCAAAACTGTAAACAAGGTGTTTTGTGAACTGTCATTTTCAACAAGAGCAATACTCTTATCAGTTAGAAAGCTTACAGGTACACTAGTTCCAGAATGGGATATATCTGAACTTAATAATATATTATTCCTGTTGCAGTCTCCATTATTCCTTTTTACAAATCAGACGTGATAGTTATATTTACTGAAAGTGTCTTCAAATTTCATACAGCAAATATCATCCAGATGTGAAGGTTTCCAATAAGACCATTGGTACAGTTCTGCCTAGTAGAAATACTACATAAAGTATTTGAAATCTTTTTCTTTAAAAAAGGGGAGTGATAAGAGTCAGCAAAGTTACTTGATATGCATACAAGTTGATATTTGCATAAGGCCATTCAATAACTTTCTCTAAAATTTGGTGGAAAATTGGAATAAATGTCAGGAGATTCCCCATTTGCTACATGTCAGGGTGTGAAATCATGTAGGGGTAAAAATAGTTTAATATAAAAAACAGATTTCTTATTTGAAATAAATGTTATCATAACTCTTTAAAATTAAGTAAATTATGCTATTAACATAATAAATAACCTGTATGTGAAATGAAATAGCTGTATGAAATACTTATATGTCTGTAACATTTAAATGAGAATTAAATCATTGTGCTGGTGGGAGTTGTTGAATATAGAATATTTGGAAGTGATTTCAAAGCATTTTTGTATCTCCTTTGCAAGTATGAAGTTAATGTTTTCCTCAGTCCAGATTATGTAATATTTATTACTCATACTAATCATTAAAACTTTACAAACTGGAAATTGATTTTTCATCTTTAATGTATGTATTAAATGAGGTGAGAGTATGAAATCTACCAACTCATGAGTCTTGCAAAGGATAGTAAACACAGAGAAATTCATTTAGATCATGTCTTCATATTATATCTTAAAATTCTGGATATATAAGAATATAAGAAGAGTTAGTGCAGTTAGTAGGAAATTAAAATGAATTTCAGTTTCTATGTAAATAGCATTTGAGAAAAACTACAAACAAAACTGTTACTATAACCAACTAACACCTACATGAACCTCCCCACCTCCCCTTTTACAAACTTCAACAATTATGGAAATACAAAACCTAAGAATTAGAGAGAAATATTAAATTAAGTATGAGTATATCTGGCAACATTTAAAACTATTTTAAAACAATGAGAATGAGAATTTGGAGGAAAAAATAAAAATTAAATACTTAAATCATATATTAATAATTATTCCAAACATGATAAAAGTTTTGCTTAAAATAATTTTAATTTTATTTAAATAATAAATGTTAATCTAAATCACAAATAAGTGTGATTAGCTCCTTTAAAATATTCAATTTTATTCATGATCTCGTTATGTAGTTTCTAAAGATGTCCATAGCTTGTTGCTTTATGCACATCACAAAATTATTTATGTATTTGTCTATTATTTTTAAGAATTGAATTGTCATTCAACATTTTACTCTTCTACAAGGAAATCACAGCAAAATTCCCCAGTGACTGGACTGGTGTTTGTCATAAAATGCCTTATTATTCTGTCCTGTCATCCAAACTGTCATCTGGAATTTTCAGTGCTGTATTCTCAAACTGCACTCATCATTATTTTAAATTTATTTTTTTGTGCAATTTTATAAGGCAAATATCCACAAGTATCCAGGTGATCCCACAGTTCTTGGAGATGGATGAAATAAAGCTGACAGTAAACCCTGAGACATCACACTTCTAAACAAAGCCTGCCAGTTGAACTAAAATAATAACTCTGTTAACTTTAGAAAGACCCATCATTCATACTTTATCCCACATTAGATGTGCCAGCATTAGAAAAGTATATTTGTTAGCCAGTTTTATATGAAAAAGAAATAAAAGGACTACTGTTGTATTTAACTGTTCATTTTCTACACACTGAAGCAAAAGGCAGATCCAAGACAAAATGAATAAAGAAGTAGTAGCGTTTTTGACAGAAACTAGGAAACACTAATCAAGGACTAACTGTCTAATGAATGAAATGAAAAGGCTAATGTGCTTACTCATGCATAACAAATGCAAGGCACAAACAAGCTAGGGATCAATGCCCACTGCAGACGGCAAACAGGCAGTTGTTTCCATGGAAGGTTGATTGGATCAAAATTTTCCCCTCCCTGAACATTTTCTGACTCCAAAATGAATCAACTAACTTAATGATCTGACAGGCAAAAAAAGTAATACACAGCTAATTCTGACAGGCACAACACAAGACAGGCACATATCAGACCAATTTCACAAAAAAAATTGCTGAAGAGCTACTTTTATTAATGGAAACTGTAAACCAGAATAGTAACTACACACAGATAAGCTCAAAAGCAGAGATGCTAAGGCTTTCTTCAGTTTATACTGCCCAATTGTTCTTTCAAACCTTAAATCAAATCCAACGTAGAGAGTCGTTAGATTTCCTAGCCTAGGGACCTCTTCCTAACCATAACTACCTGCTCTAGGAAAATCTGAAACCAGCCCATGCTGGTTGTGCATTAGCAAAACAACCCTTTGCTTTAGGGGAAAAAAAGATAAGAGGAAAAAAAAAAAAGAAAACCAAGAAACTGAGTTTTCTGTTTTTCAAATGTCTGTATTCTTTTATATGTTATGACAGTAGTATATAGACTGGCATAAATGAATGAAAAATAATGGGAAGAACTGAAAGTAAGAGGAACTTGAGAATGAGTAGGAATACAAGTACTGTCTCCCAAGAGCTGCTGGAACTACCAGATGCCACCCCCAAATCCTGAGGAACAACCATTAGAAATTTGCTGGATTAGGAGAGAAGAGGGTCTTTCATTGTGAGTTGTTCTGGCTACATTAGAAACAGGATTAATTTTAGCATACTTCATTCAGCCATTTCCAATAGTGGCTTCAAGCCCAACCCGTTTAGAGCACACGACTGTTGATGGACCAATGGCGAATTCATTTCTTTTTTTCTGTCACAAACTATATTAAAATCACCTAATTAACTATACTGAGAAATGGAGTAATATTCATACGCATGGTGAATCAAATATTTGCATATTGTCACCTTAATATGCTGACCTTTCCTAGTACCTATTGTGGATGGCCAGTAAAATATGAGAAATTATTTTTGCATTTTCTTATAAAACCAATGCAAAAGAGAAAATGCAGCATTCAGTAAAGCAAACTCACACAGTTCATCATATTACCTAGAAAAGTAACAAGTGAACAGGATTTTTTTAGAAAAGTCACATGACAGATATTGGTACATAACTAATATCACCTGTGAGCATTATTTATATTTTTTAAAATAAACTGATATGTATCAGGGCCTGAAATACAACTTTCCAGCATTACCATATCTGAATCTAAACATTTTCCATTTTTTAAAGAAACACACCTTAAGTGCATGCAAACATGCTGAAAATTTGCAAAAACTTTATTATTAATAATAATAATCTGAGGAGACACAATGTTGTTGTCAAGCCTGTTGCAAGATGAAAGGAGAAGGAAGATCTTATGGTACCACTCTAATATGAAACTATTAGCTTTCACTTCATCCATACTTCAGTCACAGACCTCATTTTATATCTAAAGTATTTTAATATTTTTCCAAAGCATCCAGACCAAAGCATCCAAGAACTGAGATTTTTTCCATGAATACTTTTGCATCAAAATCAATGTAGACACAGAGTAATGCTGAATACAGAGCATTTATGGCAGAACCAAGGAACTAATTTGACTGTTTTGTGTTTCTGAGACTATTATGTGAATATTTGAGTTGTACACTACTATTCTAAAATACTGCATTTCAGATATACAGTATTTTCAGTCATTAACATGTTAAATGACAATAGCCTAGATGATAATTTCTGTTAACTTTAACTTCATAGTACCAATCTAATCTGAAAAAAACTATCACACCGTGTGCTCTTTTGTATGCCTCCCTCATTTATATGGTTCCCACTCACTACTGTAGCATTTTAAAAGTAGAGATGAAAGAATGGGTGCTTGAAGAATAGAAAATGCAGTTTATCTGAGTTTAAATTCTACAAAATTGTACACATACTCTTAAAAAATGTATCCCTACATCGGACAAATATTCAACCTGGATGAACATGCACACAAAAACATATATGCACCCTTACATTTGAACTTGTTCAGTGCCTGAAGTAGATGGACTATCCTTATATCTCACTCAGGTTTGTTTTAAATCCTGACAGTGAAGATAAGATAGAGAACAGACAGAGCATATCTGAATCTACTCCTAGGAAATGGAAAAAATATTTTAATTGAACTAGGACATTTCTCAAAGTGACCTGCCAAGAAGAAAAGAAGCTTAAGTTGCTACACCTCTTTAATACCTTATGATTGACTTACACACATATATATTCATCTTTTTAATGGGTATTAGCATTACCGGAAAGCAATCTGAAGCAGTCTTTTCAGAGGAGTAACCTTATACATTGCGAATAACCTTATAGAAAGATTAATGCATTTAATATATGTCTATCTATAAGCTTGCTGTGATTAAAATTTCCATTAAATAATAATTTTTATGCTGGTGAACAAACAAATGACCAGTGTGCATCTTCTTTGGATATAAATGGTCTGATTATTTTTTTTTTATGAAGATGCTTCTTTAATTAAGGCTTAATGGATCCACAAGGCTGGGAAGCTTAAGGGATAACTCAGCAACCTGCAATCTTTGGATCAGAATGCAAATCTAACCTGAACAACCAGTTAACTCACATCAGTTATTAATGTGAAATAGTACAGATGTATAAAAAAAATCACTGAAAATAGATTAAGAAAGTTCACTGTAGTGGCTTAAAAGTTATTTTCTAGATAAACAAACATCCTTATGATTATGCATTCTACTTTCTGAAAATATACAAAAAACCCACAAAAAACATGGGTACATCCTTTGTTTTAGTATTCCCCGCCATAATA